AGTATTTTATAGAAAAGCAGCTGAAATATTCCCCTTCCTTAAAGTGGAGCTCCACACGTTCACGCTTCCCCCTAGGCTTTGAAAGCAGAAGTCAATCAGGTTGTTTTATTCAGGTCTTAGCAAACCTGGAAGGATTTTCTATTTTCTTCTTATTCTTTTTTTTAAAATATATGAATATTTGCCCAAAATCTTTTGAACTGGAAACTACAAGAAACATCTTATAAAATTATGCCTCTTTGGTAAAGGTAATATCTATGGCAGGAGAAAAAAAAAATTTTATTTCAAAATATGCAAGCTTCACCCATTTAAATTCATCAGGAAACTCAAGCTAGAAGTGATTATAATAGTCCATACAGGAATCTGGGAGAATGCAGCAACATTTTAAAATCTCAACTCTGGCTTACCGTATCTTTGACATATAAGAAGAAAAGGTATAATGATAACCTTGGATGTGTTACGGCAAATTTCTATCAGGCACACATGCACACGTGTGTGTGTGTCTGTAGTGTTCTCAACAGATACTACCAAAGATAGTTTTGAAGAATAATATTCCTAATCTTTTACAGCTATGTAAAATTTATACTACAATAATAGAAATAACATGAAAACACAGCCCAGAGATTATGGATGACATCAAAACAATTTCTACACAGTTAATTATAAGAGAATTTAAATAAATTCTTAAGTTATATGCATTTATAAATTGATTAACCTGGTAAAAGACAATGATTAAATGATTGAAGCAAGAGATATAAATGCCCAGTGTTTACTAGAGCTAACCCATATTACCCATGATCCCCACTCTCCAACAATAACCTCACAGTTAACACTAACTCCATCCAGAAATTGTCCTCATTTCTTGAATATAAAATAGGGTTAAAACCTAAATTACATATGGAATCAAAAAAGGGCTTGGATAGCCAAAGCAATCCTAAGCAAAAAGAACAAATTTGGAGGCATCACATTACCTGACTTCAAATTATACCACAAGGCTGTAGTAACCACAGCAGCATGGTACTGGTATAAAAAGTAGACACATAGATCAATGGAACAGAATAGAGAACCCAGAAATAAAATCATATACCAACAGCTATGATGGAATGACAGATATTCAACAAAGGAGACAAAACATACACTGGGGAAAGGATGCCCTCTTCAATAAATGGTGCTGGGAACACTGGATAGCCACATGCAGAAGAATGAAACTGGATCCTCTCTCCCACCATATACAAAAATTAGATCAAGATAGATTAAAGACTTAAATGTAAGACCTGAAATCATAAAAATTCTAGAAGAAGATCTAGGAAAAACTCTTCTGGACATTGGTCTAGTTAAAGAATTTATGACTAAGACCCAAAAGCAAATATGACAAAAACAAAAATAAATAAATAGAACTTTATTAAACTAAAAAACTTTTGTCTAGGAAAAACTCTTCTGGACATTGGTCTAGTTAAAGAATTTATGACTAAGATCCAAAAGCAAATATGACAAAAACAAAAATAAATAAATAGAACTTTATTAAACTAAAAAACTTTTGCATAGCAAAAGAAATTATCAACAGAGTAAACAGACAATTTGCAGAATGGGAGAAAATATTCACATGCTATCCATCCAGCAAAGGGCTAATATTAAAATCTACAAGGAACTCAAACAAATAATCAAGAAAAACAACTAATAACCCCATTAAAAAGTGGGCAAAAGACATGAACAGACATTTTTCAAAAGAAGATACACAAATGGCCAACAAACATATGAAAATATGCTCAACATGTCTAAGTATCAGGGAAATGCAAATTAAAACCACAATGTGATACTATCTTAACACTGTCAGAATGGCCATTATTAAAAAGTCAAAACACAATAGATGTTGGCTCAAATGTGGTGAAAAGGGAATGCTTATATACTGTTGGTGGGAATGTAAACCACTACAACCTCTATGGAAAACGGTATGGAGATTCCTCAAAGAACTAAAAGCAGACCTACCATTCAACCTATGAATCCCATGACTGTGCATCTACCCAAAGGAAAAGAAGTCAGTATATCAACAAGACACATGTAATCATATGTTTATCGCAGCACAATTCATAATCAACCTAAGTGCCCATCAACTGATGATAAAGAAAATACACACACACATACCCCCATGGAGTGCTACTCAGCAATAAAAAAAAGAATGAAATAATATATTTTGCAGAAATTGGATGGAACTTGAGGCCATTATCCTAAGTGAAGTATCTTAGGAATGGAAAAACAAATACCACTTGTTAGTGGACACTTATATGTGGGAGATAAGCTGTGGCATACAGGGGGTACAGAGGGGTATAACGGACACTGGACTGAGAAGGGGGAAGGTTGGGAGAGGGGGAAAGGGAGGAAAATTACCCATCAGGTACCATGTATGCTACTCAGGTGACAGGCACACTAAAAGCCCTGACTTCACTATACAATTCATCCATGTAACAAAAAAACATTTGTACTCCCTAATTCTATTGAAATAAATTTTAAAAAACACAAAAAGGGTTAAATACAATAAAAATTATTTGAATTTCCTTTAATAGGTAAGTTAGAATTTATTTACCAGATGGTTTACATGTCTTATAAATCCTATTAAAAAATTCAAGTTCAAGAAACATCCAATTCTCTAATTTTTGTCTTTTCATTTCTACAGAGAAGCTAACTAAAGTACTCATTGCTTTTCATTTTTTGTTTCTCAGACCCTGGAATCATTAAGTTTTGAAGACCCTGCTCTTACTTACATGAGTGTTCCATCATAACAAGGTCGGGGACTAGACAAGAGACAATCATACGGCATCACCGTGGCAGCACTGCGAATCTGTGAAGTCTGGAGACAGGATAATCTCTCACGCCTGCTAGCTCCCCCAAAACATCCCATTATTCTCACTCTCCTTCCTTCAGCATTTCATTTTTCTCTTTAAGTTTCATAGAATGCTTTTCATTTAACTCTTCTTTTTACATTCTTCTAGTTCATTCAGAAGTTCTGAGGCCAACCTTCAAAGGCTACTTGGTAGATAAACTCATGACAAATATTTTTAATATTATTGATAATTAGACAATACAAATACAAGCATCAATTAGACCCTATTTGCATCATGTGGGATGAGCAAAAGTTCAGGGAAGCTGCTGGTTCAAAGCGAAGCATGCCTGTTGTGTCTTTGTTCACAACCCTTTCAGAATCCAGTAAAGAAAGGTGAATCAACGACACCTAAGAACAGTGCGGAGTCGGCTTTGATGGAATGGGACAAGTGGCCTTGAGTGGGCTGCTCGACCGCCTTGAGAAGCTGTCAAGGAATGCTATCTGTTACATTAGCACCGGAACCACAGGAGAACAATCTCCAGAGAGCTCTAGGAGACAGACCTCCACACTAAGGCCTGACTAACTTTGAGGATAATGACTCAAATTTAGACGGAGGCCCTCAGGTGGCCAGTTATTTCACCTGGAAATACGTGCCTCTCAGAAATCTCTCATGAGAAGGCAGAATATGCCAAACTCTCAGGGCTGCCTGACAGACTCTGTGTAGATGGAAACGCTCTATACCCATGCCATCCGATACCATAGCCACTGAGGCTGTTAAGCATTAGAAATATGATCAAGTGTGTCTGAGGAGCTGATTTAAACTCTGTTTAATTTTAATGAATTTAAGTTTAAGCAGACACATGTGACTGGTGACTACCATACCGAACTTTGTAACTCTAGCTTAAACACATACACGCATAAACACACACACACACACACACACACACACACACATGCACACACACACGCAGCCTGAGGAAGATTCTCTATAGCCATTTATTCCTAGTGATGTCTAGAAAGTGGCTCTACCACCTCCTCCAGAGTCCTCAGCTGAGACAGAGCACCCTCCCAATGATGGTGTCTCTACTCTGTGCTCTCCCCGCTGCCTGGCCTCCCTTCTTCTCCTCTCCCTCACTCAGCACCGACCGTTTCTGCCGGTCCAGCCCCACTCATACTCTGTGAGCCCTACAGATTTGTGCAAGTGGCCAAGCACCTACTTGCCTTTATTTCTTCAATGGATATTATATCTTTTGTCTTTTAAGTTCTAGTATATTTACACATATAACATTTATATTCAAGTATGCTATTTGGGAGTGCGTCTCATTATGTCCTACAGTGACATTTGCTTTGGTTCACTGAAAAATGTTTTAGGCACTGGCTCCTAGGATGGCCTGAAAACCCCAGTAAGGCAGGGACTTCCTGCACTGCACTTAGATCTCTTCTATTCAAACAAATGTTTTCTTGCTGCACGTAATATATGACTTAATTTTTTTCTTTGTTTATCTATGGTGTTTGTTTTACATATTTGTGTATTTGGACAACTTTGATGTTAATTCTGTTCAGTTTTAATATACATATTCTGTTTCTAGATCACCGATATGATATTTCATCTATATATTTTTTTTACCAACTGATGGAGACAGAAAAACAAGCAAGGATATACACATTTATTTGCATTTACTTTTCCTTATAAGCATCACCTACTCTATGTTATTATCAAATATTTAAAACATGGGCATATTCTACAACACAATTTCACATTTTCTATTCTTTCACAGAATAAGAAAGAGAGAAAAAGAAATAGAGGCAAGGTGAAAACAAAAAGGGAAAGGTAAGAGACACTGGAATTTCTCTAGAGGAAAGCAAGTTTCAGGACTGGGATGGGGCACAGGGTGGTGAGCATATCTGAGAAGGTATTTACGTCTTAGGAAAACTGTCAGAGAACAGAGACTCTAGGATGTGATGTGGGTCTGGGAAACACCTTGTAAGTCCAAGAAGGCTCTAGAAGGGCAGAGGTAGGTAGGCAGCAGGAAACGTTTTAAAAGGGCCTTTACAACACAGAGAAGGGTGTGTCATACAGGCTGCTAGCTCCAAGTGGCTCATCTATGGTGCTGTATGTAGCTTCTAATCTGTATAATGTTTTTTATTCATCCCTGCAATAATTTAAATAAGAAAAAAATTTTACCTGTGATGTCCTGAATAACGTGGACCACGGATATGGCCTATTCCTCGGCACCCTGGAGTAGGACAAACAGCTTGACCTGGAAGGATTTTCACATCATTTGCTCCTTCAGGAAGTAAAAGAACATAACTTGAAAACACCCTCATTAAAGAAGACATTAAAAGACTAAAATACATAAACGATGTTAATTAAGACTTTACATATTAAAAATAAACCATCACCAAAAAACATTTATTGATTACTTATATTTTATAACATGATTTAGCAGAAAATATCAGTGCTGTAATAAATAACACTAACAGCACAACTAATATCAGAGAGGAAAATGAATAGGCATTGAAGAAACTTAAAAACAAATATGAGAACATTCACTTCTTTCTTTCAGAGTTTAATAATAGCAAAACCAACACAGCATGAGCCGAGAATGTGGGTATGCGAGGTCTGGGTTGTGGTTCCCCAGTGAAATCCTCACTCAGCCACAGCAAGGCTCTTCAAATGCTGGACAGAAACCACACTAGCAAACTGGGTGTGCTGCAGACAGTAGACACGGCCCTCACACGTGCTTGCTCAAGAGCTGTCAAAGCTAGGTAAGGAAAGAACTGACATTAGATATACGATAGTGCATGCTATACTATATACTATACTATACTATATCCTATATTACACTGTACTATACTATACAATATCCTATACTACACTGTACTAAACTGTATACTATACTATATCCTATACTGCACTGTATTATACTATGATATACTATACTATATCCTATACTGCACTGTACTATACTATATGATATACTATACTATCTCCTATACTACACTGTACTATACTATATCCTATACTACATTGTACTACGCTATATGATATACTACACTATATCCTATACTGCACTGTACTATACTATATGATATACTACACTATATCCTGTACTACACTGTACTACGCTATACGATATACTAACACTATATCCTGTACTACACTGTACTACGCTATACGATATACTATACTATATCCTATACTACACTGTACTACGCTATACGATATACTATACTATATCCTATACTACACTGTACTACGCTATACGATATACTATACTATATTCTATACTATACTGTACTACGCTATATGATATACTAACACTATATTCTATACTACACTGCACTGTACACTAACCACTCCAGGCCGGAGATGAATTCTGTCAATCCCAAGAGGCAATCTACCACTGAAGATTATCAGGATTTAAATCCCCATATCCTGTTCTATGATTTTCCTCAGTCTTCCCCGCCCCCAAACACACACACACACACACACACACACACACACACACACACACACTGACAGACATTGGCTCCTGGGGTGCTGTCCCAGGCCGCCATACCACTCTAGGTCTTACATCACTAACCATCCCACGCTTGCCTTCTCCCCTCCCAGCTCTCAGACTTCCATTTCCTGCTCAACAAACTCCTTATTTCCTCATCCTCGGCTCAGTATTTTCTCTGCCTCCCAGCCCTAGCTTCACTGGGATGCTGGCTAAGGACACGGCTTCCTGCAGCCCTCCTTAGGAGGACCTTCACTCACTCACCGTGTGTCTCAGGACTGGCAGAGGAGCCAGTGCCCTCTTCCTCCCTCTTTCTCCAGTGCCTCTCTGGAGCACACCTCTAACACTCCTGCCATCTGAGGCCGGCGGCGTGGGCTCCCGTCCATCTGCCTGCTGTCCCCCACACCATTCAGGGAAGACTGGCGCCTGCTCGCCGTGTTCTACTCTGCCCCAACGCCAGCTCAGCACCCACAGTCACGCTGCCCATGTTCTGCCCCAGCAGACCATTAACTCCATCGGCTCACACACACAGAAAACCCTCCGGAGCTTGTCATCACCCAAAACGGCCCCGCTTCTAAAATCACTAAGCAACACCCCACCTGACCACAAAATCCCATCCTTCCTGATTGTGTACTCAGGTATCCCAAGTGCTTATGGTTTTTTCAACAACAATGGAATTTCAAGGCCACTAGTTTCTTTTCTTTTCTCTTTCTCAGTCCTTTCTCATCATAAGCCCCTGTTTAACTTAGATTCTATCAACCATTATTTGACCCTTTATCGCAAATAACTTAAACCCTCCTGCCTCTCTGACTTTTTGTCATTCCTGGCTGTGGGAAAAAGGGCAACCATGAATCAGTTGAAACATCCTGCTGCTCTGTGTTTTTCATGACTAAGTTCTCCTGGAAAAAAATTACACATAGTGCAGCCTTACCAAAAAACCACTCTCACCACACCTTCCACCGACACCCACCTTCGGCTCTCAGCAGCTGATCCTGCCTGCTGCCAAGTGAGGATGCAGGAGCCAGTGGACAGGAACGCCATCCCACCCTGCCTATCCTCTCCCTCCTTCCTTTCGTTACAATGCACAGAGCATTCTCTCTGCTCCAAAGCAATGCCTCACCGTTTATGTTTGCACCCCATCCACCTCCTATTCCCCAGGATCTACAGGCTATCATACATTTCCATAATTCCTAGACTACTGACCAACACTAAACATACTCCAGTTCCCCCTATTATAAAAAGAAACAAACACAAAAAAGAAAACAAGAACCTACAACTTTACTTGGCTCCCACATTCCCCCTTAGTGGCTGTTCACCCTTCTCTACTTCATAGCAAACTTCTCAAAGAAGTTACCTCTATCCTCACAGCTCCCTTCTCGAGCCACATTAATCTACTTTCTAAGGTTACTAATGACTTCTGTGCATTAAGCCTCTGTGCACTGCTGAGTATGCATCACACTCAACGCCTATAGTACCATTAATCACAGCTGGCTGTCTCCTCTTAGAATTGTTATTGTCTGCTGGCTTTGGTGACATCACACTGACAGTTTTCCTTCTGCATGTGAACATTCTTTTGTAATCTCCTTTGCCAGTTTTCCTCCTTCAGTTGACCTTAATATGTCAGAGAACCTCCTCAAGATTTGTTCCTGGGCCATGCATTTCTACAGCTTCATACACAACTGTATGCAACAGATGCTCACAGACTTGAGCCCTGGCATTCTCGAAGTTCCAGACCAAGCTTTCTACTCGTCATCTCCATGGGAATCTTGTAAAGTCATTTCAAACTCAAGATGTTCAAACTGAACCCATTGTCTTGTCGTCCTAACCTACTCTTCCCCCAGAGTGGCTCATCTTGATAAACCGCGTCACATTCCATGCCAGACTCATGGTCCTTGACATCCCCCCTCCCTCACTTCACTGCACCCTATCAATCAATCCTCAATTTCTTAGCTATTTCTTTAACCTGGCCTAATCTAATCCACCATCATCTCCTGCCTAAAGAATTTTAATAGCCATTCTTTACTCATCCCAATCTATTCTCTATCCTACAAACAGAGCAATATTTTCAAAACATAAGTCTAATCATATCACTTCCCTCTCAGAACCTTTTAATGGCTTCTCATTGCTGTTAGGACTAAACCCCAAATCCTTAGCCTAGCATACCTGATCTGGCTCCTGTCTCTTCAGAGATCTCTTACTTGTTTCTCCATATTCAGTATTCTGCATCCATACTGGCCTTTTCCTGTCCCTTGAACCTGCTGGGTTCTTTCAAATCTCAGGACATTTGCATGTTGGAATAAGCATCCCACCAGTTCTTGGATAGAATTATCTTTCAGGTCACAGTTTATATTTCACATCCTCAGGCTAACTTCTGAGAGGAGGTTATGTCCCCTTTTATACAGCATTTACCTCAACTATAAATTAAACAATTATTTGTTTAATGTTTACCTTGTTTATTAGACTGCAAGCTGCAAGCCTGAGTCTATTTCACCATTGTGTTGCCAGCACCTAGCCTGACACATAGTTAGTGCTCGGTAAATGCTTATTGAATGAATAGGTGAGTATTCCACAGTTCTTTCCTGAGGTCCTCATAGTCTAGGAAAGAGGCTTACATAGCAACCCGAAATTCACATTACATTGTAATTACATTGCATGAAAATACTGACTGATGCTAGGTCCCAATATGTGGTGATGTTAGAACAAATATTTAAACTCAAATTACCTTTTCATTACATTGAATGAACGATAAGAAAGTATACCTTGGACATTTCTTATGCTCTCATAACTTTGTGAAACATATTGAGGGATAAGTAGAGAGAAAAAGAGCTCCCCTACCCAAAGGCAGTTTTTGGAAACAGTTTTTTAACAAAACAACTTTTAAATAAATCAGAGGAGTTGGTGTTTAAAACCAGTCCCTAATTTAAAAATATGCTTGTGTCATTCAGTAAACAAAAGGATCTATGAGAAAAGAAACATAGGGTATATAAACAAACTTTTGTCTAAACTGCTTCTCACAACACACCACCTAGGCTACCACCAAAAAGGCCCAGGATATTAAATCCATAAACAAACAAACAAAATACTCTGCATCAGCCCATCCAGATGTAACTCTGGACAACATTCCACACACAGTGACCTCTCAATGAATGCTACTTAATATTGTTTTCAGTACTATTTCAATACAGTTGATTAAATTAAAGCTTAAAGTGATATTTTTAATATTTATCAATGCATATTTATCTCCATATCCCTCACAGGCACCATAATTCTCTCCTTGGTAGAGCTGGAAGGGGAGGCATGACCTCAACTACAGGGAGAAGAGTTATCACATTAAGAGCCACAGCAAAGGATTTAACTAGGCAGTCAAGAAGAAGAGGAAATAAAAATGCATGGAACCTAGCAATTTCCTCATTAAATACTGTATGATGAAGTGTAATGGGCTGAATCAGTGGTGAATTACGCAGAGAGCTACCCATGGGGGAAAAGAAACCTGCAAATTCTACAACAGTTCACATTATTGCCTCTAAGATAAAGGAAAACCATGATTAAATTAATGGTTTTTTTCCAGAAAATAATCATATTTTTCCAAGAATATCTTGTAATTTGGATACTGAAAGAATTAGATTTCAAGAAAAAATGTTCTCAGCTCTAAATGACTTCTTCAGAGACTCCATCCCTGACCATGTTAGCCTTTCCTACCTTCTTTTTACCACTTATCCTGAAATTAGTTTCCTAGTTTATTTGCTTATATCAACTGTCTCCTTCACCAGAGTGAGGACATTTAC